CTAAATGCTTAAATGAATTGAGTTGGTGCCTTGTGATTGGCTGATTAGCAATTTGTGTTATCAAACAATTGAAGAGGTGTACCTAATAAAGTGGTCGATGAGTGTACATCTACATTCACCTTTATATTTAAATGATGTTTAGTTGCACTCCCCTAAACACTGACTCCTTCCTAAACAAAATAAGTTATTTCCATTGTTGAAATCCAGTGTCTATTATAAGCCTAGTGCTTGATAGTTGTGGATTTTAATACACATACTTTCAACTTTGTAAGCACATCTTCCTAGCAGCCTGTTAACATAACATAGGAGGCTGCAAACCACACTTATCTTGCATCAAGAGCACAGATGAACATACACTAAATTATTAACACATTATGCCATTAGCATGCATCCAAAATAAAATAGTAAAATAATAACAAAACATATTACTATTTAATAATGCATTTGAAAATTATTAACACTTTTTTCCCTCCACAAGGTTACATTTTCAACAGGCGTCTCTCAGAGACTGATTACACAAGGAGGAGAATTAATCACCCAACTCTGTTAACCTTCAGAAGACAATAACATCAAAGACCTCTGTTTAAAAAAGGAACCCCAGAATACTGGAACCTGCTAAAATTAGTCTGTGATAGCCAGCTTATTCATTATTCTTGTCTCAACAGTTAATTGGCCGCATACAATAACCAAATTAGACTGATCCCTTAATCCTTCCCTATAGCTTTTTCACACCTGCTGAGAACAGTACTTCTTGCAACAGATATAATTTCAGAAGATTTCTTATAGTGACTATATGATTTTCTATAACCTTTTTACTTCATAATGGTAGCTAAACATTTCTCTGTACTTTCCAATAAACACTCAAATCATATTTCTGTACTATACAAAAAAGATGAAGCATATGTCTGTTACTTAAAAATAGATGTGGCCACCTTTGCATGCCACATAAAATGTTACTTACAGTGGAAAGAAAGTATAATTCTAACTATTCTTAAAAATATTTCCTCCCCCTCCTTGTATCTATCCTGCCTAACCTCTATAAAAAAGTCAGTATACTTACCTATTTTTAACAAATTATTAACAAATCAATAAATGAGTGCAAATAAGCAAAAAAATTAAATAATCTAGCACAATAAATAGAGTATGTGCTATAAATCCCACCAATAAAAAGATTCAAATCAAAAATGTTAATTTACACAAATAGTCCAAAAAGTGACAAAGTGCTCTGTGCTTGTAAAGTTCCTCATAAAAAGTGCTGCTTAGAGAAAAAGAGGGGCCTCTTACGAAATGTAAGTGATCTCAAATTACAGAGATCAAAAGCACTTAGATCCAAACTCCAGGCTGGCACTCTCACTTTCAGACCCTCAGATGGTGAATGACCTCACTAATAGATTGTAAAGACAAACCAAGTATCAGCCTTAGTATCAAATGTTGCTCATCGCAATTGCATGTATAAAGCACAAACAGGGAGATGTACGATCAAACATGGTTTTATCCAAAAAAGTATTGCACTTACATTTAGGGTAGGTAAAATCAAGCATTTTGTAGAAATGTCTAGCCGTGGTGTCAGCCAGCTCACCGATATGTGATGATGTCACACTCAGACCCCACTTGATGCGTTTCTTTAAAAGTGGTATCCTGTGGGATTAGAGATTGCTGTATTTGGGGGGCATGAAATAAATTGATTTTTGTTTTGAAAACTATTTGCTGAAAGTGTTTTTTTTTATTTTTATTTCAAATGATTTATATACAGGTACTTTTTTCTAGCTTGAACTTCCACCACCTTTGGCTCAGTCCCTTTGCTCCCTGCTCACCAATTTCACTTATAAACACAGAAGTCCAGCTTCTCTGTTTACAAGTGACAACTTGTCTCCTAACTGCTCCCACTGATCTGATTTCCTTAGTGGCTTCCACTTAGCACAGGATGGGGACAAGAGAGATGGAGGTGCCCGTACGGATGCTGACACCCTCACTGGATGATTTCCCTGCAAGTGAGAGGGGATGGAGACACCTACAATGTATGTGGAGGTAGTAGAGCCGTAGAGGGGTGAATGTGAGATGTGGATGCAGTGGTAAGCAGCTGTGGAAGAAGGCAGAACTCTCCACTCTGTATGAAGTGCACCTCTGAACTCTGCACTATGTATGCAGTGCACTCCCAAACTCTGCATTTAACGCACCCCCAAATGCTGTACTGTGTATAACCCCACCAAACTCTACACTCTGTACATAATTCACTGCTGGTATTTATTTCCCCTTTAAGACCATTTAACCATACCCACTATGGAGGGTGGGAGTGTGGGGGGAGAGGGTTGTGGTTGAGTTCCTCCATTTATTTTCTGAGAAGAAAAGCCCTGTTTGTATAATGTCCATTGCAGTCCATTAGCAGTAGTTTTTATTTGTGGTTTAATCTTCTAATTTGTTCTACTGGACTGTGGATGAACGAGTGGTTTTGAAGCCTCTTTTTTAGTGGGAAATATAAAATTTTTGTTTTTGGGTTTAATACCCAAACTAAAACAGCGTGATTCCTAGCAAATATTAAAGTGTCTGAGAGCAAAAGGAAAATCAGTACTCCTAGCTTAAAATGCTAAGCGCAGTGCTAATGATTTATAGTGATTGACTGCAGATTACTGAGGAACATTTGTCAATTTTACTCAAAATCTAAAATAAAGGATGACATTTTCTCATTTATTGTTAATAAAGTTTTATGTTATTTTAGATGTAATATATTTCAAAGTGTCATGGATTACATTGAATGATGAGTTGAATTATTCCTTGCAAAATCTTCTTCAGCACAATAACTAATGATATTACAAAAATTTCAATAAAACTACAGCACTAATTCAAGTGACTCAATTGGGAAATATGTATATACTGCTTTGGTAATTGAATGATCTTTGCTTTCTTAATCCTTTCCTAGAGGCAAAATAATTGTATGAGAAGCTTCACAGAGCCACCCACGTGTTGAGACTGGCCACATACAAATTTGAAGCTCTGAAGTAAAAGTGATATAATTGCCCTGGCACCAGTACATACTCAAAGTTGTGAAAATGCTTCTGCAGTCAAAGGCTTCTTACCAACACATTTTGCCTTGCCTTTGCATTATTAAAGAACAAACAACTAAACAATATTTTAACTCCAAGTACACAAGTATGGTACACTAGAGAAAGGATACACCTGTCTTCTACAGTCATGTCAGAGTTAGGGTTTCCCAAATATCAAAACCTTGGGGAGTTAAAAAGAAACAACTAAAGTATATTAACAGTGCTTCTCTTGTTTCTTCCTTTGCTATAGTATTTATTGGCTAAAATGTTTTGCTCAAGCATGTGAGAAAGAGTCTTATGTTAGACAATTCATAGAAAAAGACTTCCATGTGGTTGACTGCCTTCAAATGAGCCTGCAAAATCTTTAAAAGGGCCAAGAACATGTTTGCCCATTCAACGCTCAGATCTCACATGATTTCTTTCAACAGTAGAGAATTATTGAAAGTCATCTCTTTTTCCAAGACCACTCTAATGATATAAGAAATTTAGATTTAGGAGCAGAATTCCTGTGGAATGCAGGCTTGGTCTTCTCTAGAACTTGAAAATGTGAAGGTAGAGAGAAACATTTTATTTCCACATAGATATGTCCTTTCTACAACAAACCACCTGTATGATCCATTAGGATTTGCAGAATTCACTTGTTTGAGAGGTTCCTTGCCTAACTTACATAGTTTACCCTTTTAAAGGTTGCACAACAGCAAGTAAAAGTAACTGTAAAGGGTGGCATCACTGCCAAAATGAGTGACTAACCATAAGTCTATTTCTGGGAACAGTGCCCTGAGAAATTGTGACCTGCTTCTTGATCAGAATGGCCTAAGAAAGGTAGATGGCCACCTTAAAAAAGCAAAGTTGGAAACAAATTTTTTTTTAAATCTCTTATATCTGACCATCATGATATTGGTACTTTGACTTTGCTATGCTATCTTCATTAAGACAAACATCAGAGATGGCTTTCTACAGAAGGGACCTTACAAACTGCTGATAAGTATTATGAGCCTTACATTCATTCCTTGCCTCAAGCTTTGTGGCATATTAGAGGCACAAAATATGGTCAGTCTTCTCTTACAGGCTAAGTACAGACCCACATTTTACCAGCACCATTTTATGCACTCACTGATATACAGTAAGTATGCTGATATATGATTGACTATGAGTGCATATTTCTTTTAAACCTATTGTGTAGCTAATAGTGCATATTACATTTAGATCCAGGTATAGTGCTCTATGGGGGGAACACAGATGCTCTCTGTCATGGACAGTGTTCTGACATAAGGGTAAGTTTGTACAGTATCAGATTTAGGAAGTTTTAAATATGTGTGGTGGTGTTTAATGTTTCTCATTTTAAAGTGTTACTAAGCCCACAGCAGTAAAATCAGTCTGCATATGCAGTAAAGCATGCTTGTTATACTCACTGTGGAAACTAAGGGGTTAATCCTCTGCATTGTGTAAAAAGGCTATTTGATCTTGTCTTCTCTGCTCCTCCTTTTGTTCAACTGCACACCTCTTATCTCCTGATAAGACAGACTGAACCCATAGCCATTCTGAACATGCTCAGTTTAGTGTGTATTGCTAGAGAGTTTTTTTTTTATTGGGAGAGTGCATGTGATCAGCACAGGGCCAATCAGCACTGTCCAGAAAGAGGGTCAGGGGTCCTACATCCTCCTAGAGCATAATGAAAACTCCTCCTACAAGCTTTAACATGCACTCTGCTGGACACTAATTAAAGTCACAAGACTGCTCTAACTGCTGATGAGAAAAGGTATTTAGCAGTGTATATCAGCACTGTAGAGACAGAGGTAAGGGGTTTTGCATTCTTCTAGAGCAGAAAGAAAACTCTTCCTACAAACTTTAACCAGTTCTCTGCTGAAGTCACAAGACTGCTCTAACTGCTGATGAGAAAAGTATTTAACAGTTTATATTTACTAAAATAATTGCACTTCCATGTTGTGTGTACTGTAGGAGACCAGATATAGTGAATGCCGGTCTTGGGTTTAGTAACACTTTAGTAACAGATATACTGCTACAGGGCAGTAGGGGTGCACAAAATCTGCACCCTACCTGCACTGCTGTTCGCGACCTCGGCTGTCAATCACCGGGTCCCGGCCAATGATTACTTGCTGGCACCCGGTGATCACACTGAGCATATCGACAGGGAGAGAGAACTGTATATAAACAATATAGTTCTCTCCCCTGTCGGCTCCTGCACACTGCTTTATATGGCTCTGCATAGCAGAACCATACAAAGCAGTGTGGTTACAGCTGAAAACATAAAGCTTGCAGTAACAGTTAACCCTTTGATCACATCACATGTTAATCCCTTCCTGTCTAGTGCCATTAGTACAGTGCCAGTGTTTTTTATTAGCTTGGATCACTGTATTGGTGTCACTGGGGATGTCAGTGACACCAAGTCAGTTTACCCTAGTGTTAGAATGCCCGCCGCAGTCCCGCAGTCCCGCTATAAGTCGCTGATTGTTGCCATTACTTAAAAAAAAAAAATCCCATCATATATTCTGCCATTTGTAAACACTATAACGTTCACGTAAACCAATTAATTTACACGTATTGGGATTTTTTTTAGCAAAGACATGTAGCAGAATACATTTTGGCCTAAATTTATGATGGAATTTGCTTTTTTAAAAAAAAAATTTAATAGCAAAAAGTCTTTTTTTTTTATAGCGCAAAAAATGTAAAATGCACAGGCGATCAAATACCACCAAATGAAAAATCTATTCATGGGAAAAAAAGGACTTACATTTAATTTGGTGCAGCGTTGCATGACTGCGCAATTGACAGTTAAAGAAAAAATTTTTTTTTGATTTCTTTCTTCATTTTCCAACAGCTTGTGGCAACAAACAAGATCTGCACAATACTCACCATGCTTCTTATCAAATTCCTTGGATTTTGGGGAGTATTTCCACATATACCCATGGCATGTGTGAGCAATAAATCAATCAATCAATCATCAAAGTGACAATTTTGTTTATTTGTCATTTTCATGTCATTTTCCAAAAACTTGTGGTAAAAAAAAATAAATTCTTCTATTGACTCATCTTGCCTCTCAGCAAATAGTTTGGGGTGTCTACTTTCCAAAAAGGGGTCATTTTGGGGGGTGGGGACATTTTATGCCCAGCATTAGAAGTTTATGCCACACATCATTCACTCTTATAACCACCTGAAGACCAAGCCTTTTCTGACACTTTTTGTTCACATGAAAAAAATCTGTATTTTTTGCTAGGAAATTACTTTGAACCCCCAAACATTATATATTGGTTTAAATCAGACACCCTAGTAAATAAAATGGTGGGTGCTGCAATATTTTATGTTACATAGTACTCGCGCAGCGATTTTTCAAATGCAAAGTTTTTTTAAAAATACACTTTTTTTACTTTTAATGAACAAAAACACAATATATTGGCCAATTATTTGGTAAAATATAAAAGATGATGGTATGCAGAGTAAATATATACCAAACATGACATGCTTTAAAACTGCGCATGCCCCATGCAATGGCGACAAACTGCATACATTTTTAATATCCATAGGCAACGCTTTAAAAGCCTTTACAAGCTACCATTTTAGATTTACAGAGGAGGTCTAGTGCTGGAATTACTTCCCTTTATCTGACATTTGCGGCGATACCTCACGTGCATGGTGCAACTGCTGCTTACATACTGGCACAGGGTTAACGCTCATCCACGCAGGGCTGCGTTTTTTTTTTTGTTATTTTAATTTTTTTAATTATTTTTACACTGTTCCTTTAATTTTTTTTTTATAACCGTTAATGCTATCACAGGGAATGCAAATATCCCCTATAACTTCAATGGGCATTGTCATATATTCTTTTTGGAGAAATCTGGGGTCTATCAGACTCTAGATATCTCCTCTGCCCTTACATTATTTAGTCTCACCAAGATCGGTGTGATCAGATGCTTTCCCAATTTACAAATGGCGCTGTTTATATCTTGCGAAACTGAAGTGATGAAATGCTTGTAGCTTCCGATTTCTTAGACTATACAGATAATTGGCACCATACCGGTCTCCAATCAGTTCTATGATCAGCTAGCAGAAACACCGGTTTCATTCTCAGGTTCCCCTGATGGCACAGGACTGCCTAAGAAGGCCGTGGAAGGCAGCGGGGGAGGGGGGAATTGTCTGCTTGTAAAAGCAATCCTGCAGCTAACTAGTCACTAGGATTGCTTTTACATGAAAGCCGATCACTGGCTGAAAAAAACAATACCAGGATGATGCCTGCAGCTGTAGGCATCATCCTGGTATAACCATTCAAAGTCCAGTGATGTACCAGTATGTTGCTGGTTCTTGTTGGGTATATATGCTATGTATTTTTTTTTTTTGTATGTAGCCTGTGGGCTGAATAAAAACAGAGAAGAAATCTCTGCCAGAAAAAGTGTGTGGTATGCCTACCATTAGAATATATCGCCCTGAATCCACCCACTTCTAATGGTGGGCACACATTAGGTCACACGGTGCTACATAGTGGCACGCTTGAATAAAAATTGGAAAAAGGGTGACACCAAGTGCCAAACTATCTTGTCACTGCTCCCCATGTAGTCTGGGTATCAAGGGGCTCCACGTGACTATATTTTCCCTCGTAAATCCGAAACTTATATGTATAGCCTGTTGCCCTCTCACAGGTCTTCTACATCTTGACCCCATATCTGGCACGCTTGCTGAGGAGAAATTTTTTGAATGCAAGGCGGCTAGAAAAATTACTGAGGGACTCATCAACACATATTTTTTGCTGGGGAGTATAGACATCTGCATATTTTTGGTTAAGGTGTTTTACAAGGGGCAGAACTTTGTGGAGCCGGTCAAATTCAAGGTCACCCCGAGGATGAGAGAGTGTGTTGTTATTGAAATGCATAAAACACATTATACTCTCATATCTATTCCTGGCCATGGCAGCAGAGAACACGGGCATATGATCGAATTGGGTCTGTGGACCAATACGACTGCAATTCATTTTTTTTAGTAATGCCCATGTTGATGGTTAGGTCCCCCAAAAATTTAAATTCGGAAACGTAGTGGGTTTCCATTTGAATGGTCTGGCAAGGTTTCAATTTGGGTTGGCGGCGATAAATTGTTGTACATATAAATTGCTTTGATCCACAATCAAGGCATACAGATCCTCTGTGAAAAAGCGCTCCAAAAAAATCAAGGGAAGTAGTTAAATTTGCTGTTTCCACCTGAATTCCGGGTTGGGCAGTGAATGGGGGAAGTACGGGTGCTGCAGAATTTGTGGGCTGCCAATCAGGATTTGCAAACACATTCGGAAGGATACTAGGGGCTCTACGGGCCTGTGTGCGAATTCTTGGTGGTTGCGGGACAATATTTGTGCTCACCACCGCACCAGCTTGTACTGCACTCATGGGACTCTTCATGTCACCAAGTGATACTACAGTGCTGGTATATGAAAGACCAGGATGTAATAGGCCGCTGGTGCTCGCCAATTTACCAAAAGGTAGAGTTGCACTAGTACTGGCACTCTGCTGCATATGAGAGTCATCAAAATTTACTGGCTAGTGCTAACAGAGATCAGGCCTGATTCTGCGAACACTGCAGTTTTGTGTGGAATGTATCAAGTGACAGTGACCTACTGACACTGCACTTGCTGGGGGAGAAGGGGGATAAGCGTAGGGGCTAAACACAGGTGCTGGCAGGGGACGGGGCTGATCCCGTTAATGCTGCGTTTTTGGGAACGCTATACTAATGTGAACGCTGGTAGAGTGCTGATCTGATCAAAGATATTGATCTGTTCAGACACTATACTAGCAATAGAGGTTTATTGTGTATGAGCATGTTCCTGGCAATCAAGGGGTTAAATTTGATTACTGGTGTACTGACGGGCAATCTGACGCTATCTGGGAGGTGCGTGAAAACCACTGGAATGAGAATCATATATACACCGTATTCCAAATTATTATGCAAATTCTATTTAAGTGTCACAAAGATTAAATATTTTGTTTTTCAGTTTAACTCATGGATGGCATTGTGTCTCAGGGCTCTTTTGATCACTTGAATACAATCTCGAACACCTGTGATAATTAGATTGGCCGGTGAGCCCTAATTTAAGGAAAAACTACTAAAGGAGGGTGTTCCACATTATTAAGCAGAGCACCATTTTCAAGCAATATGGGGAAGAAAAAGGATCTCTGTGCTGCCGAAAAGAGTGAAATAGTTCAATGCCTTGGACGAGGTATGAAAACATTAGATATTTCATGAAAACTTAACCGTGATCATCGCACTATTAAGAGATTTGTGGCTGATTCAGAGCACAGATGGGTTCGTGCAGATAAAGGCACATTGAGGAAGATTTCTGCCAGAACCATGCATTGGATCAAGAGAGCAGCTGCTAAAATACCATTAACCTCCCTGGCGGTATGATTATTTCAGATTTTTTTGGTGCTGAAAAGCGGTACCATTTTTTTGCATGGAAATATGTATTTTTTTTTATTGTAGGCTGTAATTTTTAGGAAAAACTCACTGCAAAATCTGTCCGAACAAGAGTCTAGTAAACATCCCGGGTATGATAAAATTTGAAACACAAAATCATAAATTATAATTTAATAAATAATCATAAAAATAATATAAAAATAATAAAAAATTTAATTCAATAATATAATCAAACCAAAAACACTGAAATGTGAAATAGAGCGCCAAGTTCGCACATTGCTGAGCTCAGTCGCAAAAATCGTTTTTCAGTTTCTGATGACGAATTTCCCCCACGAATCATTATCACTCAATTCTGTAAGTGGTTCTAATTTACTATCGCTGTTCTCTAGCTGATCTAAACCGCTTTTGACCTAAAGGGACACTTTTTGGACGCCATGGACATTTCTCAGTTTCCAGGCAGAAAGAACAGACAAAATGCAGGCAGGGCGTAGGACAAAGCACTCGGGACAATATGTATGTGTATTAGGTTGAAACAGCAATGTTTTACTGTGTAAAATGAAAA